AATACGCACCGTTTGTTTGCCCGCGACTTCCAAGCTCTGAACCAGCCAGCCAATCTGACGGCACCCATCCGGCTACGGATTGGGACCCATCGATCAGAGTAGCTTCATCCCGGGACTCAAAACGATGTCCACGCCGGCTTGACTAGTATTTGAAGCTGCATTATCTCCAGACAAAAGCAATGAAACGCGCCGCCAGTGTCGCTTCTGGGGGATCGCAGGTTAATTACGGAGCTCACACCTCGCAGGCGGATTTCCGATAAGCAGCAGATGTCCATCGATAGGGTCTCTAGTGTTCAGGTAAGTGCTGCCTGTGGACCAGTCTGAAATAAAGTGCGCACGATGGGCATGCTAGTCTTAGCGAGGATCGAGGGCTCCAAAGGGAAACGGATCAACTGGCATTGTCCGCTTGGTTGAATGTGGACTTGTGGACTGGACTGGAGAGATTCTCTGAGGTTGCATGTGAGTCGAAACTAGAAGACAAACGACCATTCAAGCAAGATGGAGGAGGGCATGATTTTGGAGGGTTTAAAACAGGGAGAATTAAAGTAAACTTGAAGTGGGACGATAAGGATGGAAAGCGCATGGATTGGACTAAGAGGACGAGAAGGCTTGTGCGGTAGCATCCAAACCCCTATCCACCCTGCTAGATGCAGCAGATAGGGCGCCGTTGGTTATTCACTGCGACGGCCAGAGCATTAAGAACCCATGTGGAGATAAGTTCATAGGATTGCATTGCGCAGGCAGACTACTGTCAAGTTTTCTAGGCCTTGAGAGGAGAACGATTAGGTATCTCAACAAAGCCTTTGGTTCAAAAATCTTACCGCAAGGCAGCGGGTTGTTGGTATGTAATTTTGTGTTGTTTACCTGAACTTCTCTACTGCATTCGATCGGTTGGACCGTGGCACACTTCTAGCGAAGCTTCTGGTATACCCCACTGGTAATCCCCTCCCTGGATGGATCAGCAACTTCCTCTTCCACAGGCGCCTGGAATTGCATGTGCGCAAATAAGTAATTCCTATAGACTTGTAATGCAGTGTGCCCGTAGGTGCTGTATTGGACCTTGTCTGTTTCTGATTTTCATTAACGATCTAGCGAGCCTAACCACTTCACACTGTTTGCTTTACATCAAAGTTTAGCAACCGATTAAATTTTCAACAGACCGCGTGCAGCTGCAAAACGACACAGACAAGATTCATAAATCATCAGTCCACAATCGCCTTCAGCTCAACGTGACTAAATGTCGAGTACTCCGTCTACGACACCAAGTGCTTCACGCCCATAAGCTGAGCGACCATGACCTCTAGCACTGTTCTCTGGAAAAGTATGTCAGTGTACTGATCCAGGAAGACCTTGATTGCTTAGAGCAATGTGCGCTTGCATGATAAAGTGGCATCCAAAAGTTGGGGTTCATTAAGAGAGCTGTTGGTCACTTTGACCCATCTACTTTTCCTCAGCTGCTTTCGGCATACATACACCCGCACGGGGAATGTGTGGTTCAGGCTTGGTACTCTTGTCTGAAGCGGGGTCTCACAGTCTTGAAAGTGTTAGGATGGATTACGCGATGCGAACAAGCCAGGACCCCATCGCTGCGGCAGGCGATCCAAGCTCACCCGCCCTGAGTGGGGCGAACAGAGAGCCTACTGAACGAAGCGGCCAATTAACGCGAGGGTGGCGTTCCTTGCTTTGCTGTAATTTGACCTTTGCAGAGCTTTCCACGTGCGCTTTAAATACCGTTCACGAACTTTCCATTTCACCTTTATAATGAACGGTGTGATTCGCTAATACATCCCAGTTGCTCTGCTCGTCCGACCCGCTCTTCTCTCTGTCCTGTGGAGGGCCAACAACTTCGGGTATTGATTGGGAATCAAACGTCCATTCAGCCGAGGGAGGAACACTTCAGATAGTTCCCGACTTCTGGCCACCAAGAAGGTCAAAGAGCTACACCATGTACCTTACGAGCATCGCTTCCGTATTCTAGGAGATTTCAGTGGACGCTTGTCATTTGCGTGATGGTCTTATCATGGTTTGCCAAATTTCAAACAGCCCTAATTCCTCATACTCTCAGCTGCTAAAACAACAATAGCAATGGAGTGAGAGGTCACTATCTCAAACTGGCGGAACAATACATCCGGCCAATGTGTAGGCGGCATTTCTTTTGGTTACGTGTTTGTCACCTATGGAATTTAATACTAGGACCTGTTATTTCAGCCCCATACATTAGCTGTGTTCAAACCTCGTTTCAACAATGCGCTAGCCGTGTTACACCAGATCAAGCGGACCGGTGGCCAAGTGTGCAGCGCGCCTGGTTTGCAATCAGAAGGTCACCAGTTCGAATCCGTGTAGGGGTCGGCATCCTTACGGTATACTCAGCCCGCGCGCGGCAGCGAAACTCCGTTATGGCGTACAGCTGGCGATCCACATCATCAACACCCAATCACATAACACACCTGAACTATATTCGCATTAAGAAAAAAACTCGTATCAACCCACACACGTTTTTCTGGGGAAGCCAAAAGCGGTGACATTTCATGTCGAAACAAACTATCTGTGAACAATTCAGACGAGCAAAAGTTTGCTCAGCAAGTCCACTGTTTTCGGGTTCGTTGTGTGTAGTTGTTTTTCCTTTTGAAAACTCTCACCATCCTGCGGGACATACTAAGCCAAGGTTTTTTTTAAAATGTGCAATAACCCATTGATCGGAACCCCTTGCGGTTAGGCCAGAGCGGCTAAATTCGAATCGATGGCGTATGGCTACTGCTGACTATTGCCTCACTCTTTACCGCGTGTATGTGTCATGTGGTGGTGGTCACTCATCGCACATCTCATACTTTCATGCGATGCTGATTACTTGGTCATGACCCATTTGTGATTCAGCTCCTATAGATTTAAACTTAAGTGGACAAATGAATATATATTGTCTTTCAAGATCAGTGTCTGGAGAATCTCATCGGCTCGCTCACACTCTCGCAGTTTTGGTCCTAGTTTCTCGTCTCTCACAAGGAGACCGTCTCACCTCTCAGACATAGGATTGTACTATACATCGGGCCCTTTATCACAACTTTGTCACTTCTTTCAAGCGTTTCCCTTAGCCTTGACTTTGTACTCCGTCTAGGTTGATATCTGCTGTCACTGAGAGACTCAGATCAGCGTCTAGATGCATATGCGGTTGCCGGGTGAACATCTAAAGTAACTGCGGTATTAAAGACAGTTTTGATTGCTGCGCGCGGTTCGATTTCGGAGTTCGATCGGCGGCTGCTATCTGTCTCCGTTCTCTTCAGCTGTGCGCGTACCACATCCTCTATATTGATAGTTTCATCCGTGTATGCATTTGCTTGCGTTTCAACGCATGACGCTGGTTGAACCTTATATGTGGTCGCAACGAATTGACGCCGAGACACGGCTTGAAGACGCGAAGCATGCCTGCGATAGTCCACGTGGGTAGTTGACGAGATCAGTTCGTCATCGATGGCACGGGTTGCTATCCCTCGGGCGTGATCAGGTCTACGACTGTTTATGTTCGCATCTGGCCAAGTACTGTAGACCGCGAGTAAGTGCGGACCTGAGCTAACAGGTGATCACCAATCGACCAAACAACGTACAGTCAGATTGGAAGATAGAGGCGAGAACATGTGGTGACCTATGCGTATTACCATTCTCGTTCCTTGATATACTCTGGTCTGGCAATCCTTGTCTTCGGTTTCCTCTGACTGGGTTGGACCGAGCACCAGGCAGAGAGCTGAGCCAGGGTAGCGTTTCAACGGAGCCATAGGCTGGTATTGCTCTAGATTAATGGCATAACCATTAACCTCACCCACTAAACGTAGTGTTAGGATTGTCGGTCGATCAAGTGCAGTTATGTCGACTTCGTTGTCACTCATCCGAATGCTGCTCACTCATACAACTCTGCTCATGTGCATAACGTGCTTTCCCACTCGTCTCCTGTAATTGTAATACCTAAAGGAACAATTTCCTTATCAGTTGCACTGATGGACGAGGTAACCGACTAGACGACCATCACGGCCGTCCCCAATGCCCTGTGAGAATAGTTTCTAGAAACGCCTTTTTCACTCATTCACCCATTAGGGTAGTTCGAAGCCTTAGTCATCTCCATCATGCACTTTTATGTTCTATGCCACGTACTCATTATCAGCACTTTTATTCAGCATTGTACTCTGCTCGTAGCTCGTAGTTTTACGTTTCGATTTATCACCACTCCCTTTTATGTGCCGATTGTTTCTATATTACATGTCTGTCCTGTATTGTTAGGAGAACGCTACTTTTCCCAAGAATGGCACTGCAACCAACAACAATGTAGATTTATTATTAGCCATAATTTTGATTTTTAAACGTCGCGTGCACATCCGTTTTCACCTCAGAGTAGGACTGCGATTGGCCAGCCTTTCAAGGTCGTTAGTGGATTTATTAATAACCAAGTGTTTCGTTGATGAATGCCTTCTTTGTCATCCGAATACATTTCGTGCAGAGATCTTATCTTCTGCCGTGTCGGGGTTGGGTCGATCGATTGGAAGCCAAATCTATGTCTCGTCCGTGAGCCGAGTTGTGTGCTTTTTGTGGGTTTACCGTGCCTTGCGTGTGTTCGTAATGAATTTACGATTGTGAATCGTAACACATATCGTGGCTTTCTGTCATCCAATCTAACTTTACTCTTACCCGGTCTTTCTCAAGTTATGAGTCACCGTTGACCGTAGCTTCTTCGGCGACTTAGATCTTTCTTTTATCTCATTTTGTCCGATTCCCTTTTCCCACCACTCTGTTATGGTTGTCAAACCCAGTTCATTTCCCTACCGTGTTCGAGTTTTCGTATGCGCTTATTTTCTTCAACCCCAACATTTCGCGAGCGGCTCACGACTGTAAATATACATAATGGCCAACTTTAGCTTTTCCGTTTGTTCTCCATGGAGCTCCCATTGTTGTAACTGATCGTATCTTGCTGTCTTGACGCTTGTCCAAATGTCACTTGTTCATTCATCTGTGTCTAGGATGTCCTCTGAGCCTCTACAGACAGCCGCGATGCGTCGTGCAGCCAGGGAACGAATGTACCGAAAGTATCCTCGTGCAATAATCCAATTCCACTGGTCCGACGGCGTGGTGCTCCAGTGCTGTTTTGACCCACGTGAACGAGGTAAGGCTTGCTTGTTCCTCTGGCGACGACTGACATCAATTACTGTTTTCATGAACGATCTTTTTTAACATTTTCCGTCGGGCACGCTTTATTGCGGCCTTTTAGATTCACAAGCAAACGACGATGTGTAGATAAGGATACTGAGTGAGCGGTACCATACTTTGGCTGTACCGAACGCCACTGGGTTAAGGGCAGATTTGAACATGATGGGCCAGTTCGCCATTACTTATCTTGCTGTATCGTTACTGATCTGTCAACACCACTTGTTTATCCTCACGCATAAGGTGCCAGTCACTGCGCTATTTGAAATTACATCAGTATTCAACCCGTAGTAGTTCAGCCTCCAAACCTACACATGATTCTTCTGTTGGGTCATTTTGACCTGGTTACCTACCCACTTTCATTAGGGTTACCCATTCTTAAATTTCCTAACGCTGACTGTGCACATTACCCCGACAGTCCTTCCCGCTGTTTAATCTCTTCTCCTAATGCGACGAAAGCCATTGTGAGCAATCGATACAAACTTATCCGTTTCCATTCACAATTAGAGTCACGGTGGTACTGTGATGTTTAATGTCACCTGAATCATCCGTGTGCACATTTGAATGTCAAGCGCCATTCGAGGCGATCGTCACCGTTTATTGTAACTGATGTGTTCATCCTTAACTTGGGAACTAGCTGGACTACTTTTCAGGTGAAGCCGTTTACATTCAATTTGCAGTACTTCGTTATACGTCCAGATTCATTAACTGATAGAGCGCACCTTTTCGTTTACCAACCAGAGAATGTTAAGTCTCATATTCGCTCACTTCCCCCTCCCCCTTCTCTCCACTACACAGTCTCCTCTTTGTACGACTTCGTTGGACAACGCTTGCGAAACCCGGACTCAGAATTCCACCTCTGTGAGTTCATCATCTACCCATTTTCAATCTCAATTATTAACTTTGACTCTTGAGGGGATTTAGTAGTGACTATCTTTGTAAGCCACTTGTAGGATCTGTGGTATGATTGTTGCGTATATGAATTGTGACGTCTTTTCCTCATTCAATTTTTGTGGAAACCGTTGCGCCTGGGACACCGCGGCTTTGACGACGTTTGCGTTGAATTTCTGTCTGGTTATCTGCGTTTAAAAACATCTAACTGAAACGGGACAGATCTTTGAGTCAGTGTTCCAGATGCACATTAGATATTAACTCATCAAACATTTTGAATGGTCCATATTGATCCAAGCTTTCAGATTTTGCACCAATTAGCGGTCTCATCACGATCGGTCCTAGAACTCATTTTCTTTTTTCGCCACACTTTTCCGCTCTACACTTTTAGACACCACGCCTCCACGAATGATACTGAAAGATCAAACTGCAAGCTTGATTGACGTGAGTTGCTCTGCGAACCATCACAATTTGCAAGGTCTTTAATGTGTACCCAATACCTGCGTTGTGTTGGTTTGTATCTCCTTACTCTGTTTCCAGAGTCTCCGTTTTGCTCTGGTGCATGGTAGACCACAACTCAATTTTTACCATTTATCTCGCTCACAATCCAGTACATATAGTGTCCATATTCACCACTCCAGTTGTCAGTTTCCAGCTTCCTGTCCGAGTGTTGTTTATTTATCTGTGCTGGTGACACCAGTGCTTCTTGCATTCAACCGTAACCATTTCATCTCCAAGTGTTGTGCATCACTGACGGTTTATTTACCTCAGCATTCGTCTTCATGTGACAATGTTGGATCTGCCGGTTTCCACACAACTCCCGCCCAAATTGATCTTTCTCATTGCAAACCTCGTGTCTCTTCGATAATCGCGACTCAACGATTTCAACGTTTAACCGTTTTGAAGGATTGACTGCCTGGATGATATGACTAGCCTGAAAGTTGGGACATACATTGTCGAACCTAAGCACTTTCCCCTACTGCTTCAATGGGGTTAGTTGTCAAAAACTACCCTTTGAAACCGATACGGAAAGCTCCTAAGTACACTGATGCCTCATATCTAGGCATCAAACAAATCAAACAAGCATCAAACAAATTAGTTATATCAGTCGAATGTTACTTGTCCAGCTCGTTTTCTCCCGTTGAAATGGACTGAGTTTTGCGGCAAAATTCCATTTCTTCCTGGGCACAGGCGCGGCCTTGTGCTCGCCATTAGGCTGTGGCTTCGAACCTTCCACATCATTGAACGAAGGACTGCTTCTGACTTGTCCGTTCAGCGGGAAACGACTATTCAATTCCACGTTACGCTAGGTACCATCTTGAAAGTTCATTTTATACTACTACACTTATCCCTACTTGACGCATTTGTTATTATATATGAAGCTATTACGGCTCTCATGGCTACTCCAGCTTGTTGCCACTACCCTGACGACTCGCTTTGGCAATGGATTCAATCCATTTAAATATTCAACCTTTACGAAGATTAGTCAACATATCTACGGAATCGCGTGCGGGCACTTCTTCATTCTGTTTTTCTGTTGGTTTGTATTTGACTCTACTTATCTAGATAGAATCCTCCCTCTTAGCGAGACACTGCCTGATCTTATCAATGCGGTGCTCCTCAGTGGATGCCTTTGTGTGAGACACTGCTTCTTGGACCATGTAAGCAGTCGACGTCGATGCATCCTGCGGTTCTCCGCGATGGGCCTAACGTGGTCGGTTTATGCTAACTTGTTCGTCTCTCTAATCCAATCAGGTCTACCAGATGATACTTCCATCCCCAAGATCACACATGCTAATCTGACCACTGACATGAGTCCGGATGAATTCTGTTCGAATGAATATTAATCTGGCCGTTGTTGTGAGCGATAAACACCTAGCATATCATCATGTCTCAAACCTAAGTATAGGAAAAGTTAGATGCTGTTGCTTCTAAAACTACGCTAAGAGACTAATGCTTGTGATTAGTTGGCCTGGCTGGTGCAACGCGCGCATGTTGTCTCGCGTAACCCCTCCGAAGATGGTGTGTCTGCTACACATATCCGCCTTCAGCTCAGTAGCTCGAGGTTACTAAGCAGTTCCAAGCGCACGGAAACACCGACGGCTTAGCTTTGGCCTTGGATGATTGTGTGATGCCGTGGAAAGTGCAAGTGCTTTTACTTGTTAGAAATTACTATATCATTGCTCCTAGAGAGATGTAGGCGAGACTTTGCAAACACCTTCCAAAGACGCGCCTCTTTTTTGTACTTTCATCGTCCGGCCCTATGCAAGGGAACGCGATCTTCGAACAAACCTTTTCCTTTGAAAACTATGATAAAACCTTATCATCTGTCTACACTGTTTCATCTTTCTTGCTCTCCCCTATTTTGCGTCTGCTTGTTGCCCTTTTCACTGCTCTTTATTATTGACCGACTAGAGATCAATCATGTTATAGTGACGTCTGATAAAGTTCAGCCTCTGCTTATTCATGCGGCAATCTTTATCCTGCGCAACCGGCTTTTTCAACAGTCGGTGCCTGATTGTGCGTGCACGTGCCCTTTTCCACCGCGAAACAAGCTCATGTCATTACAACATTGTAAAGCCACTTCGGGTATCGTAATACGATGCCAAACACTGCACTCTTCTCTATTCCATTATCGTTGAGCCTAGCTTTGCTTTGACAACTCTGATCTGGACACCAAAGTATGATGGATCTACTTGCCATGACTCGCATCCCCCGAGGCCTAGCAAGTTGTGTCGGAGGGAAGTCTGCCCCTCGCGGCATGTGACTGGGGCGGTATTTTTAGTACAGCTCATTGTCCAGAGTAGCGCAACCCGGAACGATTACAAACGGCGAACCTAGAAAGCTGACAACGAACTGTATTTTTTTTTCGGGATTTTCGAAATCGAAAGTAAAGATTGCGAACCTGGATGTTGTATTCTTCATTCAATGCGACCACGTTTTGTTTTTTCTGTAGTCTGTTTTCAACGGAACAGTCTACTTTTTCGACTCATGAGTGTTACAGGAATTGGTGAAAATTAAATCCAACGGTATATATCTAGGTAGATCGCACGCTCTTGCATCCCTAAACTATAGGGAGCTAGAGATCTGGCTAGTTGAAGGAAAGACAATTGACAAAAGAGAAAATTACTTATGGCAAAGAAAATAAGTAGGTCGCCTAAAATTCTGACCAGATAATTGGACATCCGCAAACCAAAGTTCGGTAGCCTACCTGACTTGAATCGACTTTTAACAGACACAATTCGTTGCGCCTCGTTATTGTCCATCTAATGTACTATAGGCAAGTCAGTGTTTTGTTAGGTTACTTTTTATTTCTAAATTTGATATTTCTGCATACAAAATAGGGTGACCTGCTTCAAGAGATATTTGCGAAAGCAGAATTTCTAGCCTAGTCCTTGAGTAACACTTGATAGTGTTTGTTATGGCAGTTGCTCCCCCTTTTCAACCTGTTCACTTAACTCTTGATTTACGCCCTTCTGTTTTCAAGGCTAACCTTGTTCCGATGGCAAAAGTCTATTTCTCTGCTAGCATGTCCACTAAAGGCGAGGACAGTAAGTGATTCTGTGCCCTACCGTTCAGCTTTTAGTGTGAATTGTTCTCAAATTGCTCTTTTCGTGCCACCGTTTGCTGTTGCCACTGGTTCATACCTACTTCTTGTTATATCACTCTACGCGCCTGCGACCGCATTGCTGCGAGTCTTTTGGTGCCATTTGTGATTCCAACATGCACTTGACAGACTGTGACCAGAACCACTATCACTGTCGATGACTCGCTGAGTTAGTGGCACTGTATGCTGATTCAATTAATAAATGATTCTATAAGAAACAGTTTTGAGAGATGTTGCTCATTTTCAGCGCCTGCAGCTATCCAGACAATTGATGCGGTGTAGGACTCTACTTTTATCAACACTACCTGTCCAGTGGTGGTCACGTGTGCACCGTGAGGTGTGTACCGCGAGGTCGCCCTCACCTACGCGGATTCGAACCGGTGATCTCCAGATGATTACAGGACAAGCGTGTAATGTTTTCGGCCACCTGGCCGACCTAATTGCTGACTTGACAGAGTAAAGACACTGTTCCTGCCCCCTCACACTAGAAAGTCCACTGCTGACAACGCATGCCAAATCGGCAATAAACCGTATTCCTTGATGCGCTGTGACCTGCCGTTTGTAACTGTGAGGTTTCTCTCTTGAAATTTGTGATGTTTTCGGAATTCGTGTCATACATGTCCCGCCTCTTTTCCTGTTTTCATTTATGTGTTTTTTTACTTTTTACGTTTATTGGCTAAGTTCGAAACGTGCTTACTAGCGGTCCCCAGTTGCTCGTTCAGTAAAGATCGTGTACCTTGATCTATATGATATGTGTGGATTTACTCAGTTAGGCAGGATTTTACTCGCCTCCGCTGCTTATTTTCGTCACAAGTGCCTGCTCATGACTTACCGGTGATTTGAGTCAGCACCATCGCCATTCTAGTTCATTGATTAAACTTCCTTGACCATGCATGTACATGCGCTAACACTGCCCTCTGTTTAAGTTTTTGTCACGTGTATAATCCGTAATACAACAAAAGGATGTTATATATTCACTGAGGAGGTTTGATCAGGTTAGCATATATTCCTTTGCCAGAAATAAACCGGCTTAATTGTTAAGTACCACATCTGGTCTGCTGCAATCGCTGAACCAATTATGCCCTTGCGTTTGTTCATTTTCCTTTGACTGTGTTGGTTATTCTACCAAATGTATGTCCTTTTGCCTACTACCCTTTAATTTGTATGTGTATACATCTCCTCCCCTACTTTTGATACTTAGTACAAATATAGTGACCGACTTCTGGTTAGTTGCTCGAATGTGAACCGAACTCTGGTTGGTTAGGTGGAGCTATATCCCACCGGGCGCGTCCCCAGGTTTGGGATCAGGGAGTACCTTACTTGTGAAGGTAACCTTGAATAAGACTCTGCAGTTCGCAAGCAAGACGAGTAAGCTGTCGCGGACAATCAGCGACAGCGTCCTAGAGCGGGGGGGGGGGGTTCTGGGTTGGTCACCCGATTCCTCATTAAATACCACAAGAGTTCGCAAGATGCTGTGTCAAAGCCAATATGACCGGCTATAGGGTCACTGACCACTCACTTCTGGTCACAGAAGTGAGTACTTAACGAAGGGCGGATGAACAACCTCGATGGCCACCGGCTTTCATGAGGGCGTATGAGTCACCCGGCTGTCAATGGCTTTCGTGCTTCACGGCGAGTTCGGTAGTCCAGGGAATCCTGGCCTTGCTGCTTCACTCGGGTTCTTTGGGCGCCCTGAGTAGTTTGCCTCTACTCGAAAGCCGTTCTATCCTCACTTAGATAACCGGATCCCAACTGTTCGCGGTATGCCTCAACCGCCCAGTTGCCTTGCGGATTAGAACTTTATGACCCAAGGCTCTGAGTGGGGTCTCCTAAGTCAACCCTCTTCCTCGGCCTGGGCAATCGGGAATCACCATGCCCGCACAATCTATTGATCCATGGATCTATTTATCTATCTGCTCTCACTCTCCCGAACTGCTCTCCTCGACGGAGGTGCTGGCGGCTGAACGCGCCAAACTACGTTTTACCGCACCACCGTTTAATCACTTTATTCCACGTTTGTTCAAACCCCATTTTCGAGTTCACAACACCGTGCTGCCTTGGGTGAACGTTCTTGTTATACGCATTAGGAGCTTAGGTCCGAGTGTGTGCCAAGTCGTGTTGACAAGCCATTTCTAGCTCCCCGTTCCCAATTCAAGCTGGCAACCTTCAATGTTCGGACGCTGATGCAGATTGGATCACAGGCAGCCCTTGTTCGCACTCTAGAAACTACGGCCATCGATGCTTGCTGTCTCAGCGAGGACAGGACTCTGACACGACGCTGTGACTAGTTGCATCTGCGAATTCCACTAGCATTTTCACTTCGTGCCTATCTGGGCACTCAACCGTCGAAGTTGATGGTTATACTGGCGTGGGGCTTGCGTTGAGCACACGTGCTGAGATCGCGCTACTAGACTGGGTCTGTGTCAACGGTCGACTATGTGCGATCCGACTTGAAACCTCAGTCCTGAAGAACGCTTTGGGCGATTCGTTGAACGCTGGCGTTGAGCTCCTCTCAGGTAGTCGAGTTATTAATTTTAGATTATGCTGAAGATATCGCCTTGCTGGGCGACAATCCACACGTCGTCCAACCGCTTTCCGACTGAAACATCAAAGTATGGTAGGTACTTTTCGCCATCCAAATGCAAGACTCTCTTCCAAGACTAGCAGGTGCCTCTGCCTGCACTCATTCTTGGTGGTGACACACTAGAGGTTGTGGAGAGCTTTGTCTACTTGGGAAGTTGCATCGCTGCAAGCGGGGCTGTTGGAGACGATATTTTCATGCGCATCCCGAGAGCACGCCTCACTTTTTCTAGGCTGAGGCACTTGTGGCGTCGCCACGACATTCGTCTCTCCATCAAAGGGCGGGTCTATTGTGCAACTGTTCGTGTTGTACTGCTGTACGGATGCGAGACCTGGCCCATTCGTAAAGATGACTTCCGCAGGCTATCCGTCTTCGAGCACCGCTGTCTGCGGCCCATTGCCCGTGTGTGGTGGCGCCACCACGTAAGCAATGTGGAAGTTAGACAGCGTGTCTTGGGGCGTGGAAGGCACTCGCTCGAGGAGCTCGACTCACTGCATCAACTGTGGTGGTTGGGACAAGTATTGCGCATGCCTGTCCAGCCTTACCCGCGTCGTGCGTTGTTTGCGGTTGCTGAACAGAGCTGGAAGAGACGGTCTGGTGGACAGCCGCATGAAAAAGCGGACGAAACAATTCGCTTCGACCGGTTATTGTCCACTACCTGGTTGGGGTCCGAGAAATGCGGATACTTGCTGGTTGAAGTCCTTGGAAGCCATAGCTCAAGATCGATGTCAATGGCGGGCGTGTGCGTCGGTGTGTTCCAGTGTCCCTTCTTCCTCCCTCTAAAAAACGAAGTGAAAAATTTCAAAACTGAGTGCTAAACTGAACAAAAATGCTTTTGTTGTTGTACTTTTCTATTATTTATACTATTTTCCTATTCAGCCATGATTCCGATGGCACAATATCTGTGCCACACATTGTGTATTACAAATATATATATATATATATATATATATATATATATATATATGATCAGTGCGACTGTCCAGCGCTAAGCCAGCAGACGCTGTCTATTCATTGTCGCAGCGTACGCTCCACAGATTGCAGCCAGGAGTCAGTTAAGGACGAGTTCTATGGTCAACTGGCCGACCTTCTCCGTAAAAAGCGCCGTACCGACATCGTGGTGCTCGCCGGGGACTTGAACGCGCAGGTCGGTAGACTTGAAGTTGACGAACGTGAACTCGGTGGTCAACACGGCCATGGCACTCGCAGAACTGACAACGGTGATCGACTACTTCAGCTTTGCGCCGATCACGGCCTCTTTCTGTCGAGCACTAGCTTTCGGGGATCCTGGCGCCAACGCGCCACCTGGAGACCCCCATCACCTGGCCAGCCGTGGACACAAATTGACCACATCGCCATTAGCTATCGCTGGCGGGGCTGCATACAGGATTGCAAATCAATCTGGAGTACCTATCTCACTTCGGATCACGCGCTGGTGTGTGCCAAGGTCGCGCTACGTTTTGGTGGCTCCCAGCAGCGTCGCCAGAAACGGCTTGACGTAGCTAAGCTTTTCTGAACGTTCTCCGCGCATTTCAGGATGCTTTGGCCTCAAGGCTGAAGACTGCCTCATGCATAGACATTGAAACACACTGGGTACACATCCGCGGCCCCATGTACAGCTCTGCAACCCTGGTCTGTGGCTTCACCAGGAGTCCTGTCAACCACTGGATCTCTACACGATCCCTCCAACTTCTGGAATCCCGTCGAGCAATTCCTGCTAGCGTTAAATATCATTCACTATGCAAGATTACTAACGCTGAGCTCAAACAGCTTCTCCGGGATGATCGCGTGACCTGGTGAACACAGGGCATCATTGAGGTGGAACAAGCGGCCACCTCGGGAAATTTCCGTAAGCTTTTCCTCCTGATCCGATTTACTGGTGGCAAAACGCCGACTGTAAGCGAAGTTTTATGCGAAACCAATGGTGAGCCAATCCACTGTCAAAAACGCCGACTCGAGCGTTGGGCCGAGCATTTTGAGCAGCAGTTTAATTGGCCAGCAGCACCAATGAGTTCCCATTCTGGAGTCCAGAGCGCTCCCTGGTGTGTAGACGCTTCACCACCATCCGAGGCTGAGGTTGCCCATGAGCTTCGCCTCTTAAAGCGCTACAAAGCCTCTGGCCCAGATGAACTCCCTCCGGCTCTTTTCAAAGATGGCGGCCCATCACTTGTTCAGGAGTTAACTTCTCTCCTCCAAGAGATCTGGGTCACTGAAGTTATCCCATCTGATTGGAGCCTAGCGGATATCGTGCCCGTCTTCAAAAAGGGTACCCGAACTGACTGCGCCAACCACAGAGGGATTAGTCTCATCTGTGTTGCTTCCAAGGTGCTCGCAGCTCTGCTTTTAAGGAGGCTCAGCCTGGTACGCGAACAGAGCATACGTGAAGAGCAAGCTGGGTTCCGCTCAGGTCGGAGTTGCATCGATCACATCTTTACACTCCGCCAAATACTCGAGCGTCGTCAAACATTTGGCCAGCCAACGATCGTTGTCTTCTTAGACATACGAGCCGTGTTTTACTCAGTTGACAGAGCTGCTCTCTGGAGTTGTTTACTGAGAATGGGAGGAAGAAGTATGTCACCTTTTTTCAAGCCATCTACTCTTAAACCTCGGGCCGAGTGCGGGTGTACGGCGGACTTTTGCCACCCTTCCGTATCACCAGTGGTGTGAGACTGAGTTGTCCAGCAGCCCCCTTCTTGTTCAGTTTCGCTGTGAAAGAAATCTTGGAGAGTGCTCTGGAGAATTGCAAACCCAGCGGCGTGGAGCTGCTTCCGGGGGACTGACTTCGGTATTTGGAGTATGCAGACGACATCACCGTAATCTGTGATTCTCCACAAGCCTCCCGAAATGTGCTGTGTAGGTTGGAGGTGTATGTCTCCCAGTTTGTAATGACCTTCGCACCATCGATGTGAAAGGTCTTCCTGCAGGACTGGCTAGGTGCTGCTCCTACCTCAGGTCATTCACTGGAAATTGTGGGCAAGTTTATTTACCTCAGAAGCTGTCTCAACACTAATGACTAAAAGGATGAGGTCTCTATGTGCATATCCAGGGTTCGGGTTGCTTTTGCTATTCTCCTTCATCTCTGGCGTCGGGGCGATCTGAGTCTATCTCTGAAGGGCCGAGTTAACAATGCCACAGTTATAGCGGTTCTGCTCTATGGCTGCGAGACTTGGTCTGTTCGAGCAACGGATGTTGTGAGGCTGTCTGTTTTTGATCACCGCTGCCTCCGAAGCATTATTGGTGTACCATGGCCACATCATACGAGTAATGAAGATGTTCGAGGGAGAATTTTCAGATCAGACGGACTTTGCCGGCCAATATATAGCATAATTTCTCTGCGCTCATTTCAGCGGTTTGGGCATATTCTTCGCATGCCTACTCATCGTTTACCTCGCTGTACCTTCTTCTCGCGCGCATAAGTCGGCTGAAAGCGAAAGCAAGGTGGCCAACGTATGCATTGGGTCAAGCGCATGAAGGAGTAACGTCAAAGTTAGCCGTGGTCGGATGCTCTCGGTTCCCTGGCTGCAGTGTGAAGGCTCCGGGGAACGCACATGGCTGGAAACACTTTCGGAGATGGCAATAAATCATGCACAATGGCGGACTTGTTGTGACTCACTATTCCCATGAACTCCGTTTTTTCCTCTACCTTCGTTTGTTGGTTGTATTTTACATACTTTGTGGTACTATGCTAATTGTACTATTGGCCGTGTTGATTTTATATATATATATATATATATATATATATCGGCCACATTATTAGAAATTTTTTCATCTTTCATCACATATCTCTTAAGAATGTAACTTAAAAATGGTTATATTTACCAAGCATAACATATCGAATAGAAAATTATCAAGGTTAGTATTTCGTAAATGATCCTTTGTCAATTTTCAAGGAGTTAACACACGAAGACATGGAGTGAATGAGTTTTTTGCAAAGTTCAGTCATGCTTGCACTGCGAGCCCAGGTCACTACAATTTGTTCAATGAGCAGTTACTTGTTTGTAATAATTTTTTCTTCATCTCTGACTTTAGGATTACCCATAAATTCTCTATTGGGTTCATGTCAGGGCTATTACCAGGCCATGATAACACTTCTATACCACAACCGTCAAGAAAACGGGTGACTTTACGCCTCTTGTAACATGGAGCACTGTCATGCGTGAAAATAAAGTCTCCTGTCCCTGTAAATCCTTTTTCCTTTGACCTTTCACACAGCTGAGAGATCAGTTGGTGCTCCGGTAGTTCTTTGTACTGCTGCTGGTTCATGTTACCCTGAACGATGGAGAGCCGACCAGTTCCGTAGATGCTCATAGAGCTCCATATCATGACCTGAGTGGGACGTTTAACTCGTTGAATGATGCAGTCTTCCCTCAGCTGTTCGCCAGTTAATCGGCAGGTATATAGAGATTGCTGGTCAGAGCACCGGATGATGCACTCATCGCTGGAAACCACCTAAAATGGAAGACAGAAAAACGCAGAAACACAGCAAAAGTAATGTAGACACAAATTTTCTAGAAAATCCTTATGAAAATAAAACTTCCGCTTCTTACCCGCTCCCAGTCTTCATTGGACCATTTTTGAAGCTGTTTGGCCCATTCCTGTCCTTTTTCTTACATTTGCTTGGTCAACTTTTGCTTCTTCAGAGGCCTGCAAGCTCGAAGTCCAGAATCCAAAAGTCGTCTTCTTACAGTTCTCCAACTAACTACAACACCATGCTGTTCCAACATCCCTTGTAGCTGTCTGCTAGGTGCTTTGCGTTTCTTTAGACATTTCTTTAGTAGAAGTGCGTCGTCTCGAGCTGTGGTTTCTCTTCTGCGACCACATTTACCGGAACGTTTAGGGGACGGGTAAATTCTTTTGCATTTTTTTCGAAGTTGACATACAGACGCTGTACTGACACCAATCTTGGTTGCAATTTCTGCTCCTTTAACATTTTCTTTCAACAAAATTTCAATTTGTGCACACTTTCGAGGGGTTAGGTCACGTAATTTACTCATTTATATGCCAACACCATCTAAAAACTGACGATCATTACGGTTGTGACGTTACTTAAGAAGACACCTTGAAAAATAACAATAAAATAATTAAACGTACCTATAAATTGATCCAAAACCAGACAAATGTAATCCTGAAATGTAGACTACAGCTATAAATAACGAAGAAAAAAATATAACCGTCCGTTTACTTAACTGTACACGTCACATCAACCAATTTGTCATCATTTACAGAAAATCTCACATACTATGCCTTTGCGTGTCAACTCCTTGCAAATTGCCAAAGCAATATTTCCAAACTACCAACCTTGATGATTTTCTATTCGATATATGTTTTTCTTTTTAAATATACCCATTTTACAGTTACGTCATTTAGTTCTTAAAAGATATGTGATGAAAGTTGAAAAGTTACTGATTGAAAAAAGGATTTCTAATAATTTGACCAGTACTGCATATATATATATATATATATATATATATACTAGGTTAGCTGAATCCATCGCGTTTTTGTTGATTGACTCAACGTACGGCAGGGCAGACTATGTAGTGACAAGGACAAAACCCTTAAATTTGCGTACAACTGGCTCACTTCGCTCAGTTTTCTCTTAATTCCACTTTGATCTCGTCCCGTTTAGGCTATTCTAATTAGACCGTCTTTCATTCTAAAACTCAACCACAAACATTGTCATTCGCTTCTTCTGTTTTCCGTCCAGTTGAATGCGAATGTTTTTTATCGGTATTTTTTGCCATCAGGGTTCAGAAATCATCGTTGGTATTCAGTACTGCCCTTTTATTGCATTCGTCTTCGCTTTCTTTATACCTTTTTCATCACGATGTTTAGCCCTCTTGGGAGAAGTGCTGTCCAATGCAACGGTGGAAAATGCTGCTGTCGCTGAACAAATCGTGCGCACTTGGTGAGCAGTGCCCCAGGCTTTCTTTTTATTTATTTGCGTTGACTATGACATGAATTTGACAGGTCGTGTACGCAGTGGTCTGGGCTGTGTTATTATTTTTCACTTATTAGCTATCGTTATACCCTCTGGCTGTTCAAAGAAGCACCTGACTACAGTCTTGGGAACTGTAAGCTCTCCCGTTTTTATCACACCAAAGCATTGTCCATCCTGTCATCCTTATCTGCGCTTGGGCGCAGCGCTTTCGTTAGCCCATTGCGATTCATCTCGATTACAGTACACAACGCGTTTCTTGTTTACGCATTCAGGTGTAGCAAAAGGTTGCCTTTAGACTTTACCATTGATCTGGACTTCTTTCTTTTACTTTGGACAACGTGGGTTCCTCAAACTACGTGGAAACCCGACTGATTACCAAACTTGTTATTGCGTCGCGTTATTCAAGGCAAGCTTAGTGGCCCGGTTTATAATAGCTTTTAGTACCAATCGCAGATTTCACGATTCACGGCGTCATATGTTCAATTTCATCTCTCTATAATGCCGGTTCGCTGCCATGAAAAGTGGACCAGAGTGATTTGCATGTTTGGTCGCTTCATCAATAGTCGAGCGCTTAGTTTTCACTTTCATTCCTAGTTATGCGCTTTATAACTTTACCCGACTGCTACTTCGCCCGCCTGGATATATCTGAACTGGATTAACATACCACATCTGTTAAATGAAGAAACGCACGAATGAGCTTTGTCGTTTCCTTTTTTTCTTTCTCACGCATTTACTGGACTATAACGGTACTTTATACTATTTGCTCCTTTACATTTTAATTTTTACTCTAACCATCCTAGGGGACTTGTTAAGCACATGCTTTTTTTACCCGTGATATATCATTGTTCAAATGTTCCATCGCGACGAACTGCATACACTCGATGCTCTCTTTAGTATTGATGTCGTACTTCATCAGGTTTTCACCTGCATGCTCATGACCTGCCCAGCTTCATTTGTTGGTGAATTGTACTTGGACCCTGCACCGATTAAGAGACGCTATTAGCGCTGAACATGTGTTGTCGGTTTTAAGAACCTTTTTATTTGTTGTTTCTTTTCAGGATGAGCTCTGTGGCAGCTTCACATCAAACCAGTGTACCGGATGTGCCTGTGACACAATCAAATACCCCATTTTCTGAGGGCGTTTCTCGTGAGGGACCAAATACTCCACCTAAATGGTTAAAAATCGGTTAGTCACGATATCCACTGGGTCATTTTTATTCAAATTGGTGCATACCTTGTCACACTGTTCTTACCATCTACGTTCACCCTCAACCACTGACTTGTCAATCTCTGTTCCGCACTATGTAGACCCACGCTTAACTCTGAATTACAAGAGCTTGGAGACCGTCTCTGTTCTCCGCTGTAATCTTTGTGTGCTTGCGATACTTGATTTCCTTCAATTTAATTACCAAGTGCATGCTTAGACCACAGTCACGAGAACACATGCAGATTGCATGTAAAGCAGCCTACTTCTCGCCCTTACTTTTCAGGCAAATGAACGTTGCTCCCTGTACAAATTGGATGGTGTTCCCCGATGCAAACCTGTTCACCGGATTCTTTTTACACTTGGCATCTGCCACAATTTCTTGCGTCAAAGCTTGATCAGACTCATTCCCAACTCATAAAAAATTAGACTCATTTTGTGATGACTGCGGTTTTATGAAACCTCTTGCTACACTCTGATTTCGTGCCTACGTTCAATTGCGTGTACATAACTGCACACGCGCCAATCATGAATGAAGTGCAGTTTTATTCATTTACCGTCATCTCTTTATTTTACCTAGGCTTAGCGTGGAGCATATTCGCTCCAGTTGGCAACACTCGCATGGTAACTCTCGAGTGTGGCACTTTGGTCATCAAGAACAAAGTCTGGGCTGCGATCAAAAATCTAGTCTCTACCTAATCGACATGCTATTTATGTAGTATGCTGTTATCTATTGGAGCGATTCGGAATTGGTTTATATTGATGGAGATGCCTCAGGTAGAACGTATAACATTCATCGACTGAGCTGATGCGGTTTTACAGAATGACGCTCACTCACGTATATGAGGGTTGCTGCTAAACTGGTGGTGATCATCCCATCACTAGCTGCCCGTTGCCTGCCCGTCGTGATTCCGATGGTCAAAACAAACAGCTGTCACCACATTACTGATCCTAGGGTAGGTTGTTCCGAAAGGTGGAAAAGCGCGTGCTTTTTACGTTTCTGATACAGGATTTTGACCATCTGTGACGTTACCGTTTCATAACTGAGATACGTGCGTTTGTCAGGTGTCATCTGATTTGTTGGTTGCCGCGTAACATGTGTTAGACTTCAGTATTAGTGGAAATATTCGACCGTGTACATCAACATTTGTTCAAAGCTTGTTTTCATTTGAATCGGACTAGGAACTTAGACTGTGTGACCATAACGGCCAAGTGTTTCCGTTTTTCGCCCAAATGCGGTGGTTATATATTCGTTTCGAAATTGTATTCGACGATGAGAATTGTTCAACATCCTGATCTAGCTTTCGCTTTGCGCTGCGAGATTATCAGCCCGGCCTTATTCTGGTTCGTATCCCCAACTAATCTGTATCGAACTTGTTCTCAACCTGTGTCGGGATTCTTTGGTAGTCAAGCGGATATTACATAATAATTGTTTCTCTATTTTTCACGTACGCGCTTATGAAGACATGATCAAGAGGTTATTCGCAGTTACAATTCTTGTGAATAACCAAGCTAATACATAAATTTCCGAAAACAAAACTTTGTTTACTCCGATCATAGTTGTGCAAGGGAAAAGGAAACTATCAAACTAGTCTAACTTTAGTTTAAATCCTCGCTGAGAGCAGTTCCAGTCGTTGCTTCATCACTAGGTTACAAGCACTGATCGTTTGAGCCTCGTCCGACGGAATGTGGATGTGTACTTTCGGGCAAATGTGCAATTTGCTGCATTCGGATAGAACTCTATCTACGATACGGTAGAGTACCGCACCTCTTCTCCCTTTAAATTTTAATGGAAATCGTTGCACTGTGGAGTCAAATATACTCCTGTTTCTGCTCATGTCGTTGTTTTCACTATCGGAATGGATGGAAGCAATTCGTAAGCTACAGAATAAATCGGAGCTTCCGAACGTTAATTCCTTACTAATCGACTACAAAGGGCTCGATTCGTCGTCCTTCACTTCTTTCGAAAGGAAACGTGTTCCTACATTAGCGCTCAACAGGCACACGGAAAGGAATGTTGACCCAGCGAATAAGTGTAGCAGGTTGACGGAGACTATATTTTGGGTGATAATTGAAGTAATTTGTAAAAGCAATTTGTCGTAATAGACTAATAAATTGAGCGCACTTAAGATTACACGAGGAGGATTCCAAATGTATTTCTTAGTTTGCATATACGGGACGGGTTTGGTTGCTTGCAAGGATGAGGATCGATTGAATGTTTCTGTATTTTTATCCCAGGTAACTGGACTTGGGTAGAAAAGTGAAATCTACAGAAAGTTTTGCTTGTTTTTGCTATGAAGTCAGTTGGAGTGCAGGAATTTCACGAGGGAAACATGCATACGATGCGCAAGCATAAATGAAAGGAGAGGGAACTACTAGGTTTATTGCATTGATGCAATCAGCGTTCGACAGCGCACGACATAAACATAACTCAGTGACAGAATACATGTCAAGCACGAGGACTCTGTCACATACGCCAGAGTCTAGAACAAACTATCGGTCGGAATACGTGCCTGTACTCTTAAACACGAATTTCGCAAATGCATCAGCAAATTCTTGACTATACCGTGGTATTTACGGGTACAAAAACCTGAAACTTACTACATCTTGTATGATGGTCATGGTGAAACTTCAAAATATTTAAAAATTGCCGGCAACATTAGATTTACACCGGTGAACACACTGCGGTATACGTAGTGTAAAATGTAAATCCACAGTAAGTCCATAAGAAATGATGACAAATGAAACGTTAATGAACATCATTGCGCCGCCTCCCAGTTAATACATGCAGAAGGTAAAAAGGTGAAATATATTTTGGGTGTTGTCCGGCAGTGCAATCTCGGAGACTGCCGTGTTTAAGCATGGGCAGTGAGTCATATTAAGTAGTGGAGCGAAATGACTGCACGGTTAACTCGGGCCTTGGATTCCGCCAGCGTCGAGCACAAATAAAGCATTCCGGTAGAACATTCCACATTTTCATAGAAGGTAGAAGTCACGATTAAACTCCACACGAGAAGCCCTCGGTAGCTCAGTGGTAGAGCAGCGGACCGGGGTTCGATTCCCCGTCGAGGCAGATTTTCGTGTGGAGTTTAATCGTGACATCTACCTTCTACGAAAATTACGTAACTCACAAACATCCTTCAAACATTCCACATTTTGCAAACGCGTTCAGTTCACTACGGTTAGACAGCTATGCTCCGGGCACTGAACTACGTTGGATCCAGTTGCCACGGCTCACGTCGCCAAATAACGACAGCAGGAAAAGGTTCAATGCAAGAAATATGGAATAATAACAGGAAAGCAACAACCTAAAAAAGATGAGATAAATGTTAACGGCTAGGTGCATGAAACCGAATTCAGAAACGTCACTGGCTGCGTGACTGCGCCATATCTGACAAGGTCTTCAAACACTGGTGTGTATCACTCCGATGCCTTATCCGGGAAGATAACATTCATCAGCCTGAATAAGTTTCTCGGTCAATTTCCTCATATGTTTGTACCACGTCATCGACTGGCCACCTCGATGTTTCGCTCAACTTGCTGCAGCCACGGCGTAAATCCACGCCGGGGAAGCAGGTCAGTGGGCAATCAGAGGACATCACCTAGCCAACGTAAACGATTAGGATTCAGCAAACATTCGAGTGAGGCCCCAGAAGACTTCTTGCTAGACAAAGTGGCGGACCTCAGCATTGCTCACCCGGTGTTCCCACCATATGTGAGCAACACTCTGCAAGCATCGGTGGTCAAGCGTTTTATGTCTTCTCTGTGAACTGGCCAGATTTCTGACCCGTACCAAATAAGACCGGCCTTACCGCAGCATTGTACACCCTACCTTTCACTGACAGGCTGATATGCCGCCGGCTCCATGGATGGTTGATCTATTGGCAAGCTACACGGGCCTTGCTGATGCGCGAACTAAATTCCTCAGTGATGTAACCACCACGGCTACCAAGGTAATTGAACCGATCCACCACTTCCAATAGCTGTGCGCTGATAGCTCAAGCCGGTGATCTATCTGTCCACTCCTTCAGAATTACTTTGCGCTTTGAAGGTGCAAAGCACATGCCGAAGCGTGCAGCGCTACGCGTCAGTCTGCGCACTGACGCTTGTATAGTCAGTCTCAGACCCAAAGGGAACTATGTCGCCCGCATACTCAGCGTTTGTCCGTCGATTCCCTTGCGGCACTGCCGTTCTAGAAGAGTCTGAAAGAACAGTCATTCATGACCATTTCGATCACAAAGTTGAAGAGGAAAGCAGCTATAGGACAACACTGGCAAACTCCACTTATGGGGAACACAGGACAGCTTCCTGTGGACCTTCATTCAACCTCGGCAATCACATTAGAGAGATAAGAAGTTTAGCTGCAGCGGATAGGCAGTGACGCAAGCTAGTGCCATCGACAGCATCGAAGGCGGCTTTAAAGTCAAGGAAAATCACCATATTCGGCCGTCTGTATGTGTGACTCTCCTCTGGTACATGGCGATGTGTGAGCCATTCTAACACGATGAGGGCGCAAACCAACCTGGCTTTCAGTGATCCGGTCGTCACGGGGAGACAAGTGAGTCTTCGGGGAATGATGACCGTGAGCAGTTTGGAGACGATAGAAATAAAGCTTATGCCTCGATGATTTCCGCACAAACGCGTACAGAAAGGAAATTCCGATTGCACTGCTCTGCTAGCTTGAGATGGTGGTCTCTCAAATTACTGTCGTGACTGAGCTCTAGAAAACGGCGGCCCGTGTGATTGCGATCACTCCAAATCGGGCAAGTCCAAATGGAATCCCCACGCAATCGCCGATATTGTCTGTTGAAGATCCGCTGCACTTATAGCCTATGTTCATACGACAAATTATGCAAACCTTGGCCATTTTTGCTTGTCCGGCCTAGGGGTATCTCCAAAGCGGCAAATCTTCATCAGTCGTGCCATTGAGATCTCTCCTGGGCCATGGTTGCCAGATCTTTATTGCGTATTCTGCATGTGGACGTATGTATGAGCGAAAAATCTGTTGATAAATCGAAGGTTCGCATCGTCCGATAGCACTGCTCAGGAGGCCTGCGTTTTGAATGCCCCTTCTTGACGCCATTTCAGCCTGATTCGCACATCCAAGGTCGACCTGGACTAAAACTCCTAGCTTCTCGCCAGTAGACGTTTGAAGCCGTTGGTTGCTGAGTTTGTAGGAGCACACCACCTGCTTCGGTAAGTGCAACACTCTACATTTGTTCACAGTGAATCGAAGTAGATTCCGGATTTACGCGTATACTCTAAGCAAGTCGGCTTGAAGTACTGTCATCTCATCTAATGTATTGATCGCCCTCCACACCTCGATGTCATCAGCATAAAGCACGCAGCCGGAGATTATGAGGCGTGTGATATCGTTGATGTACGTCAAAAATAATTGCGGCCCTAGTACCGACCCTGTGGTACTCCGCATTCAACTCGGATGGGATCTGACAGCGATTCACGCACTCGTACCTCCAAGCGACGGTGTAGGATAAGGCTTCTTATCCACTTTAGGACAAAATCACTGATATGAACGATCTGGAGTTTGAAGAGCAGAGAGTTATGCTCTTACCGGTCGAATGCCTTTGAATAGTTGTGTAAAGCCACTTCAACTCTTATGCTGGTGTCTACTGCTTCGGTTTAGCTGGATCTTGCCAGCGGTAGATTTGTAGTCAACGTTCGATTTCGTCGGAAAACATGCCGTTTCGGTGCAACGCAGCTTTCAAGTACGCCGTTACC